TTAATTTGACAAAGTGAAGATGAGATGGTCACTTTGATTCCTGAAAACTTAAGAAGACCACTGGTTAGCTCTCCAGTTTTACACAATAGGAATTTTTTCCTGCTTGTAATAACTTATCTCAATGTTATATTTATGTCAAAGTATACATTGTCTACTGTGTCACGCTTTGATAGTCTCCCAAACAACTTATTTTTTTCATTTCCTTAAGTGTGGAGAATTATCTCTGAAGATCTGAATCATGTGCCCTTGCTGGAATATTAAAATATAGATTCCACAAATGGGGGAATGTGGAAATGACATTTAAAGGACATTGTAGAGCATGAGCAAATTCATAAAAATGTGAATGAGCTTGTCAAAATCATGGAACTAAAAGCTGAATTTGATAGTGCAGTAGAACATGAGTAAGGAACACAGGACAAACTTGTGTTATTAATGGTCCTGTATATTAAGAGTTTTTGCTTTATCTAGGAAATGGGCCATTATTTGGATGACTTAAATATGTTGCTTACATGATCAGCTTTGAATTTTTAAACCATCAGTCGAAATAATGAATGCATCAGATTAGGGACAAGTGTCTTCTTTATTTATCCACTACTTTGTTCATCACAACATCTGGCATAAGATTTTATTTTCATGATTGGTTCTCAATTCTGATCCAGCCATAACCACACATCTTTTCTGCCTCTTTATAACTTCATACTAAAGTAAGAATTTTTTTTAAGGAAGGGTCTTTTAGCCTTAAAAACTGAGATGATTTTTTTTTTTTGTGGTCATAGGTTGAATTTTTTAATAACCTGTGTTTTGATCTATATTTAAATGTCACAGTCTGGATTGAATGTTTTTTCTGGAAGCAGAGACATATGTGAAGGCTTCAGGTTTCTTATTTCTTTACTTGTTCTTTCTGGATTTCATAAAAGAGGCATAAATGAGCAATGAAATAACTGGGTTGGAATGTGATAGGATATTGCACTACCTTTGTTTGTTTTTAAAGGTCACATATTGTACTTAAAAATACGTGTGGCAAATTGCTGTATAAAATTCAGGTTAAGAAAGGATATTAAATACAAAAACACTCTCTTTAATCTGAAAAGTCCTGAAGAGTGTAAATTTTTAATTAAATAAAAATTAATTATGAAGTATTTTAATATGCAATTTAGGCATTAAATAAAATTAGCATTTTTTCTTCCTTAAGTATGTGTTATCAAGTTTCAGGAATGTTAAAAAGTTCTCTGATGATTTAATCTGAAATCATTCCTACAGCAAAATTCATAAATAATAAATATTATCTTATTAATCCATATTTTAGTTTAGCTGGGTCTCAGAGCAAGTTAGTTCCTCAGGGAATGTGGTGTTCTTTATAAAAGAAGGTGATGAGATGTAATCTCCAAGGAATTAAATTGTGAAAACAATCTTGGTATTGTACATGCTAATATAAATCTGTTATTCCCTTTCCGCATCTATCACAACACATTTTAAATTGTGGCTGATCTCGTATGCAAATAGCTGTCTTATTAGAAATTGCGGCTCTATGTGCTAATGTCTCTCTGGATTTCTTGGGAGTTTGCTATCTAACCATCAAAGCAATAGAAATGAATGATGATTACTGCAAGGCTCTGAAGAACAAAGAAAAGTCAGAACATTTTAGAGGTTCTAGATGTCTGAGGCACTGACAGTTTGCACCATACACATGAATGGGAATCTCTTTAGATCATTTAAAATAGCCTCAATGTGTTTATTAGGAAAGTAAAATATTTTCTACCTTCTTGTGTTTGTTACAGCTAATAAAATGTAAGGTATTTGTGCATGGGTGTGTTCTTTAGATGTTTTTTTGTTTCAACATTTGGTAAAATTTTATTTTGCTTAAAGAATAGAATAGGATAAAGAATGGAGTAGAATAATTTCAGAGAATAAAGTTTTAATTTTTGAAATTTTGGTTAAGGATTGTCAGTCACCAAAATCATTGGGAACAAAAAATTAAAGCTAGTTCTTCTTTAATGTATCTCTTAGGTTGAAGTTCTTTTAAAGATTTTATATTCACAGGTTTTATACATATAAAATGTATCAATTCATAGAGTACAGGGCTAGGTTCTTTAGCTTTTTTTGGTATCACTTTGTTCATTTAAAGTACATTTTAAAATAAGTAAAATCTAATTCCTTTTGTTGAAAAGATATTCTCTATGGATCCCTTCCTTTTTTATTTACAACGGGTAAGGAATGAATAAAATACTGGCTTTTAAAGTGTTATCTCTGTTAGGATGCTGGTTTAAATGACCAAGCAGGAATTGAAGGAAGCATAGTGAGTGACTGTTTTGGTAGGTGGCCTTAGTATTTTGCGTTTTAAAAATTTAAGCTATTCCATAAAGGCAACAGACAAAACTAAATTGAAGAGGGAATAATGTCTGTGTATTTATTTATTTAAACTAACTTCTCTCCTAAAATGGTTATATTTTTTCTAGCTCCACATAATCAAGATTAAAATAACTTGACTCCTCTTTACAATTAGTAAATGCAAAACACTATGCAAATGGATTGCTATATTAATAAATTATAACCTATCTATTGATATTTTTATGATGCTTGTATTAATGTTCTGAATAATAACAAGTGAGAATATAGGGTTAGGTGATGTCTTGGTTTCATTTCTGAAATTTTAAGGTTATATTATCTTAGATGTGATAGCTACATGGTTTATGAGAGGTGACGATTTAATTTATTTGACTTTGTCTTATTTTGCACATTCTCAAATATTACCATAATATTAAATCTGAAGATTATTATGTATAGAAAAATGGATTTTTAGCAGAACTTATAATTTTTTTACACATAAGTAGTAATTATTAATTTGGGGATGCCTTTTACGGTGTTGGGTGGTATCATCGTTAGGATCGTTCTGTGTGACCATATATATAAATAAACAATACAGTTTGATCTGAACAGATTTCAAAGACATTTGGCATTTGAGAACCTTAATATTGTTCTTTAGGAAAATTACAGTTTAATAATTTATATGGAGACATCTATACATACTTCTTTTAGTTAGGGTGGTACTACCTACTGTAACAAACAAATATAAAGTGTATAGAGGCTTAGATGCTGCAAGTTAATTCTTGTTCTCACAGCAGTGTGAAAGAGAAAAACAAGTTGGTTGAGTAGGTTTCTTTTGTGTAGTCATTCAGGATCCAGGAAGTCACAGGCTCTGCCATCCTCATCACATTTCCAGCATCACTCTGGGGGCCATTTCCATTTTAGCCAGATGAGTGAGTACATATGGAAAGTTTTTATAGGTTAGTTCTGGAAGTAGCAAACACTAATTTATTCATATTCTGTTGGCGGAAATTCAATCACATGCCCACAGCTAATATAGAAGGAGGCTGGAAAAGTTGTCAGGTGAGCTCAGGAAACAAAACAAAACAAAACAAAACAAAACGAAGGAGAACATGTATTTTAGTAAGCAGCCAGCAATTTTTCCTACAATCCACCTTTCTGGTCATGAAATAGCCATGCATATCCTTTTTCCTGACTCTTTAGTAGGAAGATCCTAAAGTTCCCAGCTTACTGCATCCAGGACAAAGCCAAGGATCTCAAGCCAGGGCATAGTGCTCCCTCTTAGGTTGGAATATGCTTCCTTGAAGTTTACAGACTCTAAGATTTTCCTAATGGTGAAGCGGAAGGTAACTGCTTCATCTCCTATAATCAGTCCCATTTAGAAAGGGAAGGATGGGAAGAATGGGAAACATACAGGAAGCACTGATCAGCATGATAATGAAACCGGCTGTTCTTGAGGCCACTGAGAAGGCCCATTGTACTGACAGAAGTTTCTTCCTTGAGTCTAATTATGGTTTTTTAGAGAAGTTCCCTTGTCCATTGTTCTTTATGGCCTTCCCTTCTGGATGGTTCTCCTTTCTGGTCACATATGAAATGGATGTTCGAAATCTACAGAGTTTGCCTTCCTTGGGGGCTGCAATCTGCTGGTTTAAGTTTAGAGGTCCAAGGATTGGTTTTCATTCACATACTTTTTTAGACAAAGTTGATTTCCTTGTAAATATAATTCCCTCAGATTTTATACCCTTCTTACTATTTCTGCTTAGTTCCATGTGACCGTGCAATCTCTGCCACATATATTTTTTTAAAGTTTTTATTTAAATTTCGGTTCGTTGGCAGTGTAATATTAGTTTCAGGTGTACAGTACAGTGATTCAGCCCTTCCATACAACACCTGTGCTCATCGCAAGTGCGCTCCTTGATCCCCCTCGCCTAGGTCACCCATCCCCCACCCCTCCCCTCGGAACCGTCAGTGGGTTCTCCATGGTTCAGGGTCTGTTTCTTGGTTTGCCCCTGTCTCCTGTCCTTTTCTCCCGTTTGCTTGTTTTTTTCTTAAAGTCCACATATGTCTGCCACATATTTAAATTCAATAAAATAATAAGCTTTGAAAGATGTGGATTGAATCAAATAGTGCATATAATGTAGTAAGCATGAGAATATTAGTAAATGGTAGTAATTTATACTGTTTACGGAAGAAGAGACAGAACCAGAACTCAAATTTAGGCACTTTTGTTACCTATGTCATGCTTTTTAAAACAAGATTCAAAGCATCTGAGATTCATACTTTAGCCTTTTTGTGTAACAGAATGGATAATTGGAAAGAAACGTACTGCCAAGAGCATGCCTACAACCCCAACCCATCTGAATAAATGGTACATGATTTTCACATTTACCGATAATACTCTCTAACAGTTTGGTTTAATTGAGTATTGATAGTACTTGATAAAATGAATGTTACCAAGAACAAATAATTGGGAAATTTAATTACCAGCAATTGTATCCTTGATAATTTATTTGAAAGAATTTTGTGTTCTTTACTGATATCTAATGGGAATAAGTCAAAGGCATTTTTACCCATTGCTTTAAAAATGAATTTTATGGAATAAATTATTCCTGAAGTTTGTAGATAGTCCTTTTGATGTTTTAGGACTTCATCATAATTATTTTCTTTCTCTGCAGCAGGCATTTTGGAGATCAAAGATGGGTAGAAAAGATGCCTCTACTATAAAACTTCCTGTTGATCAGTACAGAAAGCAAATTGGTAAGCAATGAATTCCCTTTGATACATTCTTGTGAATTAAGATAAAGAAAAAAGCAACTATGTGTGATATTAAGAAAATAGCTTCTCCTTAATACATATGATACACAGAATATGAATAATGAAGGACTATATATTTTTAAAGAGCAAAAAATAAGTGTAACCTACTTACCAATGGAGAAATACACGTTGTGTACTTGTGATTTTCAAAGCTCTTATAATTTTTGTGAATTTAATAAAAGCAAAAATGCATTTTATTATTTTTCTTAAGGCCAGATGCATTTATATGGTAAATATTTTTAGTGTTATCATCTTTTAAATCATTTATTTTTATCCATGTAAAAACTTTTAATTTTGTTGACTCAATGACAATAGTTTGATAAGCCTGAAATTCTTCTTTAAAATTTTACTTTAATAAAATGGTGGACTAGAGAAAAGTCCACTAGTCAACGTACAAAAATAACAGGAAACTTACCTATTTTATACTGTGCTCTAAGTACAGGATTTTCTACCCATTTTTTTCAAGGTTACATGGAGTATTTATAAAAAATTACCCACATACAGAGTTACAAACCAAGTCCCCCCAGTTTTAAAGAATCTGTATCCTAGAACTACAACTTTGAGCAAAGGTTAGTAAATTAGAAATCGGTTAGAAGCAAAAAAGGTAACTTCCCTTTTCCATCCTGTACCCTCTCTTTTTACATGTTCCTACTCATTCCCACCCGTTCCCACTTCTTTGGAAATAAAAAAAATAACAATTAATAAAAAACCTCTTCTAAAACACTGAAGGATAAACAGAGAAGTTACAATAGAAGTCAGAAAAAAAGTAGAAATTATTGATACCGAGTATATACATATTTTATAAATGTGATATATAAGGTGCACTCCATAAAGATATTTCTGTAAAACAAAAGAGATGCAAAATGAAAAGAATATTTAGAATATATATAACCAATTAAAGATATATATATATTTAGAAAAATAAAGTCCTACTATAAATAAATAAGGTAGTCTGGAAACCCAATAGTAAAATGGGTACAAAACAGGAAGAGGCAATTCATGAAAGAGGAACTCTGAATAAACAAAATAAAAACAAAACAAACAACTATTACAATAGAAAAATGAAATCAAAAGAGCCTTACAAAATGATCTAACTCATCTAACTGGTAGTCTGATTAAAGCAAATTAAAAAAAAGTATTTCTAACTGATTAAATTTCCTGAGGGATGGTTTATGATGTTTGATATTTTTTTGGTATATTCCACCTTCCTTCACTTATAGGATACCTGATGAATAAATAGTGTGGATTGTTATGTTATTTATGTGTTTAAACAGGACTGACTTATCAGATTAAAGCCTCTGATGAAATGGGATATGCTAACCACGTAAAGAATAGCCATATCAGGGATCAGTTCACAATTCAACTCTTAAATATACAATTCTTAGAATTTTGACAAGCGTAAATACCTGTATAACCAGAAACGCCAATCAAAATAGAAACATTTCCATTTTCTCAGGTAATTCTTCATATCTGCTTCCAGTCAGTCTCTATCTACCTCCATATGCAACCACTGTTCTGATTTCTATCACCATAGATGAATTTTTTCTAAAAAAAAAAGCCCTGCAAAGTTTGTTATTGAAATTTTTATCTAATAATCAATTTTGGAGAATAGACATTAAAATCTAAAGTCTTCTGTATTATAAATAAACATGACATATCTTTTATTTAGTTCTATTCATATTTATTAGAGCCAAGGAAGGGTGAGACAAAGTAATATAATTGTGAGGCCTCAGCCCTGTTCTTATACTAAATTGTTTAGAGGGTGCTGTGATATGCATTATATTCCCATACAAAGTTCTCTTTCCTATTTTACTTCCTCTTGAAAATACTAGTTCCACAAGATCCACCTGTCTCACAAGGTTCTTTGGAGAGTCATGAGAAGTGTCAGACCAGTTTGTAAACTACAGTGTTGCATGGATATGAGTTATCCTGTGTGTACTTTGCAAATACAGTAATCATAATCTAACACAATATATTAAAAGTAAAAGAGTGGTGGTATACTTTGTTCACTACTTTTAAGGATAATGCACTGCAGTCTTAAGGTTCTTATGCATATACTATAGAATATTATGATATATGTAAGGTTTTGTAAAGACAGAGAAATAAAATAGAAAAGATATTGACTAGTTAATTAATACAGACTAACTAATTAAGATATTAACTAATTCAAGGATTTTCTCAAGGAAGCATTATCTGATTTTCCATATCAGAGTTAGAAAGTACCACAAGCCTGAACTCATACTAATGATGATAGATCTTAAATGGAGTCCTATGAAGATGTTTCCCAATCTGATAAAAAATGTGAGGAGGGAATAAATCAGACATAATTATCTTGAAGAGATACCTCAGTATTGGTGGTAAAAAAAAAAAAGAAATATACAGGGCAGAGCAAGATGGCAGATAGGAGACCTGGATTTCGTCTGGTCTCAGGAATTCAGCTGAATAGGGATCAAACCATTCTGAACACCTATGCACTCAACAAGAGATCTAAGAGAAGAATAGCAACAACTCTCTGAACAGAAAAGCGACCACTTTCTGGAGGGAGGCGGAGCAAGATGGCGGAGGAGTAGGAGACCTGCATTTCGCCTGGTCCCAGGAATTCAGCTGAATGGGGATCAAACCATTGATTGGAAAGCTTGCAGGGAACAAAAGCACCCGAGAGCAAACCCGAGCAGATTGCTTAGCCCAGACCGACAAGGGTGGGGCAATTCCACCTCCTGCAAAGACATTTGGAAACCATGGCAACAGGCCCCTCCCCCAGAAGATCAGAACGAACAGCCAGCCAAGACCAAGTTTACTGATCAAGGAGAATGGGAGAACTCCAGTGCTAGGGGAATACTGCACATAGAATTCATGGCTTTTTTTTACCATGATTCATTAGTTTTTCAAAGTTAATTTTTTTAACTGTTTTTTTTTAAATTTTTCTATGTCCCTTTTTCAACCAACATCTTATCAATCCCTTAAAAAAAAAAAACTTTTATTTTTCATTTTTAGAGTCATATTCTATCCCTTCATAGTAGTTACCCTTATTTTTGGCATATATATATAAGTTGTTCTCTCTTTAAAATTTTGAGATACAGTTTCTTCTAACAGATCAAAATATACCCTAAATCATTAGTGTATGGCTTTGTTCTAGTCTCCTGCCTGATCACATTCTGTCCCTTTTTTTTCTTTTTTTTTAAATCTTCTTTTTTCAAACAACTTCTTATCTTATCAATTCCTTTTATAAAATCTTTTATAATTTTCATCTTTACATTCATATTCCATCCCTTCATTGTATCAACCCTTATTTTGTACATATATAGTCTTCCTTTCTTTAAAATATTAGGAGGCACTTTCTCCTAACAGACCAAAATACAACCAAAATCTAGTGTGTGGCACTGATCTATGCACTAGCCTGATCATATTAATCATATTCTTTTTTTTTTGTCTTGTTCGGTTTTTGTTTGTTTTTATCTTTTTCTTTTCTTTTTTCCTCTTTCTTTCTTCTTTCTTTCCCTTTCTTTTCCCCTGGTTTCAGGTCTTTTCTGGTTTGTTTAGAGTATATTGGCTGGGGACATTGTTAACCTGTTAGCATTTTGTTCTCTTATTCATCTATTCTCCTCTGGACAAAATGACAAGATGAAAAAAATCACCTCAGCAAAAAGAACAAGAGGTAGTACCGTCTGCCAGGGACCTACTCGATACAGACATTAGTACGATGTCAGACCTAGAGTTCAGAATCATGATTTTAAAGATACTAGCTAGGCTTGAAAAAAGCATGGAAGTTATTAGAGACACCCTTCCTGGAGAAATAAAAGAACTAAAATCTAACCAAATCGAAATCAAAAAGGCTATTAATGAGGTGCAATCAAATATGGGGGCACTAACTGCTAGGGTAAATGAGGCAGAAGAGAGATTTAGCGATATAGAAGACCAAATGATGGAAAATAAAGAAGCTGAGAAAAAGAGAGATAAACAACTACTGGATCACGAGGGCAGAATTCGAGAGATAAGCGATACGATAAGACAAAACAACATTAGAATAATTGGGATCCCAGAAGAAGAAGAAAGAGAGAGAGGGGCAGAAGGTATATTGGAGCAAATTATAGCAGAGAACTTCTCTAATGTGGGGAAGGAAACAGGCATCAAAATCCAGGAGGCACAGAGAACCCCTCTCAAAATCAATAAAAATAGGTCAACACCCCGACATCTAATAGTAAAAGTTACGAGTCTCAAAGACAAAGAGAAAATCTTGAAAGCAGCTCAGGAGAAGAGAGATGTAACCTATAATGGTAGAAACATTAGATTGGCAACAGACCTATCCACAGAGACCTGGCAGGCCAGAAAGGACTGGCATGATATCTTCAGAGCACTAAACGAGAAAAATATGCAGCCAAGAATACTATATCCAGCTAGGCTGTCATTGAAAATAGAAGGAGAGATAAAAAGCTTCCAGGACAAACAAAAACTAAAGGAATTTGCAAACATGAAACCGGCTCTCCAAGAAATATTGAAAGGGGTCCTCTAAGCAAAGAGAGAGCCTAAAAGCAGCATAGACCAGAAAGGAATACAGACAATATACAGTCACAGTCACCTTACAGGCAATACAATGGCACTAAATTCCTATCTTTCAATAGTTACCCTGAATGCAAATGGGCTCAATGCCTCAATCATAAGACACAGGCTATCAGATTGGATTAAAAAACAAGACCCATCGATATGCTGTCTGCAAGAGACTCATTTTAGACCCAAAGACACCCCCACATTGAAAGTGAGGGGGTGGAAAACCATTTAACATGCTAACAGACACCAAAAGAAAGCTGGGGTGGCAAGCCTTATATCAGACAAAATAGATTTTAAACCAAGGACTGTAATAAGGAATGAGGAAGGACACTATATCCTACTTAAAGGGTCTATCCAACAAGAAGATCTAACAATTGTAAATATCTATGCTCCTAATA